TAAAGATGCGATAAACAACAAAAAACAAGGTTGTTATTTTTGCGAAGAAAACGGGGTGTTTTTTTATTCACAGTAAATTATCAGTAGTATAAAACCAGCACAAAGTATAAGAAAACAATGATTTTTGTTTTAATTTAAAGTGAGGCAAAAACGATCCACGAACCAAATTATGGATATGGGAACCCTGGTTGGCAGATTTTAAAAAAATAATGGGAGGAGGGGGGGGGTACTTGTATGCTAATCTGTCCATTGCAGATCTCTAGTAGGTAATTCTATAAGAAACCACACGCTTCTCGGTCACATTAAACAAAATTTAAACTCGTTAGCTTTTACTTCCCAGAGATATTATAGATTGAAGGCCAAAAAACGCCACTTTATTTAAAAATTAAACCAATATGAATATTTAAATTTGGTATATATGATTAAATAAAAGATTGATAATTAGGAAGAAATGGGGGGGGGGGGGGGTAGCAAAAATATTTTTTTGTTAAACTTAATTTAAATAAAGATATGACTTCCAATTTTTGCAACGTTTTTTTCTAGTGTTTAATAACTGATTAGTAGGGCTGTGCTGATTCACAAATTTTACACTGATCTAACTCGATAGTGTCATTCTCTAAGCGCTTTTTACACTGATCTAACTCGATAGTGTCATTCTCTAAGCGCTTATGCACTTTTGTGTTGTTAAAAACCACAGAGCTACGCTGCCCATCAATAACTAGGTAAAAATTTTAAGGGGTTAAAATAAGCATGAGAAGAATCATCAACCGGTTTTGCACTCGCTTGCGCGCACATAGAGACTAACTCTATGTTTGAACGCTTATTGGCAGTAAGAAGATGGTGAAAGAAAAAGCTCATACCCGACTAAAATAACCGTTTTCAGTTGGTATGAGTTAGGGTTTTTATAAGACTTTTGCCTGAGTTAATATAAAAATTATATTTCAATAAATTACATTTAATCAAGTTAATAGAAAGAAATTAAATAATAGTATTATTGCTGGTTAACGTTTCCAAAATGAAATTATATAAGCCTCGACATTTGGCAAATAGATGTCCAAAACTTTTTGCCATATATAAGCAAAATCTCAAGGCCTATATAATATTATTTCGGTTATAATCTTAATTGGGTTGTTTTAAAAAACTATAGTTGTATGTAATGTTATTAAACAGTTCGATATAGCCGATTTTCTTAAAACAGATAAATCATAGCTAAGCCTCGAAATCACTGGTAGCTCTCCAAACCTTCCTGTCATCTGTGGCCAAAATATACAAGCTTGGATAATTTACTATCGGCTAAATTTTGAGTCAGTTGTTTTAAAAATCGGCTTAATCGAGCCGTTTAACAACACCAGCTGAACGTGACTGACTCGTTAGATACTTTTAAATCCCTTTTTTTTGTTACAGATAATATAAAATATATTTTATCCAATTTTTTCGTTTTTTTTAAACATTACAACTAATTTGAAAATTTTAGTTCCTTTTTATTAATTTATTATTAATGAAATTATATAGGGGTGTACCGATACCACTTTTTGGAGGCCGATCCGATATTCCAGATATGAAATTATATAGGGGTGTACCGATACCGGCCGATCCGATATTCCAGATATAAAATTGATATCGGCCGATAACCGATCCGATATCATATCTAATTTTGTATTCTATAAAGATACCAATGGTTTTTATTTGTAATATACTTTTTATTAGTATAACTTCTATAATATAATTATACCATAACTTATGTCATTTAAATATAGTATAATGATCAATTATAGTTTATATTCAATTCTATTGCAATTTTAAAAGTATATAAAATATTTTTATTGTTAAATCACTTTTATATAATAAGTAACAACATTAATCTAATATATAATAAGTAATAAACAAATATATTATGAAATTTAAATAAATATTTAACATTAATATATCGAAGATTTCTTTTTAGAAATATCAAAATAACCAATTTATCAGAAATCAGCCTGCGGCGATGGTAACTGTCAATATCACCAGCTTCACTAAAAACAGATTCTGAAGAGATTATCGCACACTTTTATAAACAGAATGCGCAAAAAAATAACAATATGGCAGAATGTTTATTAATTAATTATTATTATTAAAAAAATATGGATTTCGATGCGACCGACGCCGTTTTTAGCTGTTTTATAACATTTAAATGGCATGATAATCGATTTATGGGTAATATCAAGAGTATTTTTATTTTTTTATAAAATTTATCTTAGACAACTTTATATATAAAAAAAATTTCAATCCACATGACATTTCCAATAAATAAATCAACAATTGCATCTTTAAATGTTATCAAAGTGGTTTAAAAAAAGGCCTGCCTCAAAGCATTAAAATATAGCAGCCATATAATTTGCTATGATTTTTGCTAAGTATTCATTTGCCGCGCAAATTATTAAAGAAGACATTAAGTATTCAGTTATTAAACAATAAAAACATTGTAAAAATTGAAAGTTCTAGATTTTGTAAATTTAATTTAAAATTGGATATATATTGGCCACGTATAACAAAAAATAATAAAAAATTTTCATACCTTATCAACCTTTTAGTTAGTCAGGCATACCAAATTTAATATTTAATAATTATAATCTAATTATTAAAAGAAATGCCGATTTTTTGCACCTTTCACTTAATATCTCAGGTAATATAAAAGCTAGCGATTCTCTAAATATAAAATTTATTATTTTTCGTACAAATTTTTAACAAGGATCGGTCGAAAATGCATTCCCCCCCCCTCTTTTTTTTATCGATAAAACGTGGTATTACTCTAGTGAAACATTATCAATTAATTCAGGTTAATATTAGGACATTAGATCCATTTACAAGGAATAAAGGTTTATCAAGCCAGACCAGCACATTTCGAAAACAATGTATTTATAATAGCGCGACCTAATTGAGCGTTATCGAAAAAAAGACCCAGTTTGCGTTTTTATAAATGCCAATATGCACTGACCATTGCACGATACCATTTGAAATGCATTATATGCGTTTTGCATAATGAAACGAAAAAGCTCAATTAGCTTGCACTAATACAGTATAATTTTTAAAAAAGCATTGAATAAAAACATTTGCCACCATTAATAATAAAATATTATGTTTATAAATTAGATTTACACATTAATATTAAAAACACTCAATCCACAATTATTTTTAATAAAGGATTTATAATTTTGTGAGTACAATAATTTATGCCCTGTTTCAGAAAATTATTTATTTTAAATAATAAAATAATTGCTAAACAGCCATTATTTAATATCTTTTTTTTCAGAATAAAAATTTTTTGCATAAATTTAGTTCATTTTTCATTTAAAAATTATTTAGAAAGATTTAGAAATAAAATCAATAAAAGCTTACCAAGAAGTAAGGACCACAGAAAATATTTGTAAATTTATGTAGGGAATAATTTAATATTTGAATAGTTTGCCATTTATGGTATGTACATCAGATACATTTGTCACATTTTTTATTAGCTGAAACTGATACCATAAATAGCAAATTAAATTAAAAGGAATATTTATTAAGGATTATCATTCTGACCATTAGCCACTACTATCAATTAAAATTAAAATTATTGACTGATATCCATTTGTAATTAGAGCATCACTGATGTATGAAATTAGACTTTCCTTGCATTTGAAAGCAAATTATAATTTGAAAAATATATAATATTACATAAATTATGCTTAATACTACGTATTCAGTAAAATATACTATTAGTAATTTTGTAATATATGGCATAAAAAAATTCATTTTAAATTGTTTTATTGTATCATATTTTTGAAATGACAAACCTAAGTTTTTATATATTTTTTTAAGCTAAGGTAAATTGGGGGTTTGGGCTATTAAATTTTTTTAAATTATGGGCTGCTAAATGTCTTAGTGCAGTCCTGTTGACTTGATAGTATAAAATAATAAAGTTTTTAACTCCTTGTAAACTTACCTTTATATTTTATTTTAATTCACTAAAAATAAAATATGAGTTGTGATTAGGGCTTTTAAAAATTCTGATTTTAAAAATCAAACCGATTAAGATTTTAACACAAATAATATTATGTGCTTCAAGATTTGAAAAATTGAGGTCAAAACTTTCCTGTAATGTATGAGCAATATTAGGCTTACAAAATTATTATTATGGCTAAAATCTTAATTGGGTTGTTTTTAAAAATCAATCCAAATTGGGCCTTTTGACAACCCTAGTTGTGAGTGAGGTGTCTTTCACAATTTAAAAGTTAGTAAATCCAATGAAGGCATGAAGATAGCAGATATTACAATGTTTAGTATCAAATATAGAGAGAAAATAAATTATTCTTGTTTAGTTTCATAATTATAATTTATATTATATTAAATTAATTTAAAATTATATATAACAAAATAAAAATTTTCCAAAAAACCGAACCAAAAAATATATTCAGGACAACAAAAGTTAAAAAAAATATGGTGTTGATAGCCATATCAATTATTCCTAAATGTTAAAATCATTATATATTTTTATAATAAGAGGAGCTTAAAATTAATTACTAATAAATAAATTTAATAAAAATTAAGATTTTTATAAATATAAATATTTTTTTATTATTAATACAAAATAAAAAAAAATAATATTTAATATATTTAAATAAAATATACATCTCTCTAAACCTTAAATAGGTAACTAAATTTGTTTAGATTAATAGTGAATATATTTAAATAAAATATACATCTCTCTAAACCTTAAATAGGTAACTAATTTTTTTTTTCATGTAATTTCTTAATATTATTTTATTATTGTTTATGATAATATATAAAATTAATTTTATAAAAGAGAAAAGGTTTTTATTTAAGCTTAACTTAGATTATAATATTATACATGTAAATGTTAAAATTTAATCCAAATTATAAAAACTATTCTTTTTCTTTAGGTAAAAGTAAGCTAAGTCTAAAATATAGTAAATTATTATTTAATTTTTAGAAAAATATTATATGCTATAAGAATATACCTAATTTTAGGAGATATTGTGAATTTTTTAATTACAAAAGAACAAAGAATCGACTTGAATATGAAAGCGTCGAATCATAAACACAATGGCAATAGTCACGTGCAAAATTTTAAACGAATAATAAAAAATATAAACTCTAATCCAATGTGTCCCGCCCGAACTAAAAAAAATTCCAAAGATATGAATTATGAAGAAAATATGATAGTTATATCCAAAATATAGGTGAAAAAGAAGAATATAAATAATTACAATTATGCTGGCAATTTAATTTACTGTAATATTAATGACAAAAATATTATCAGTAAAACAAAATAAGGGGGAAAAATGAAATGAAGGACATTATTCCCAGATAAATATAAAATTCGACAGGGATTAAATTCCATTTAAAAAGATATACTGTTATATCTTAATTGGATTAATAATAATTAAGTCTTGTATCTAGTAATAATAAATTGAGCCTTGAATTGATATAAATTCTAAAAATATCTCATTAGTTGAAAAACCAAACTATTTGTACACCAAAATTATCAGTCAATAATATATATTTAAATGATCAAACTACGAAAATATATAAGGTTGATCCCTAATATTAAAACGAAATATTTATATACTAATTATTATCAAGAGGGTGGTGCATTGCGATGGGTGCTAAGGGAAGATAAACTTCCCCCCATTATTTATTTTTAGCTTCCCTTTCAAGCGGCTGAGACTTCTTGCTAAAAAATATTTTTTCAAAAGTGTTTCATTTAATTTCCCAGCCCAGCACATTTTGAATATCCAGATCTAGTTTTTCTTACCCTTTTATGAATTAACAGTGTTTTTATTTCTATATTGTGTATTAGTACATAGAATATCATAATATCTTGTATTAATTTTTTTGAATATATTATTTTATTCATAGATTTAAATATTATTATAAGCCCATTTTTAGGTAGAAATTACCAGGCCCGATTTAGCTCGTTTAATTTTTGGGCCCGGCCCATAGAGTATTTGACCTTTTGGACAGATTGCGCCTGTCTTTGCAGATCTCTGTTAAATAATTAAACGCATTAATTAATTTTTTGCAAACAAATCAAATTAATTTTATATCTTTTTCACTTTCTGATTTATTTCTTTGTTTTTTATTTCTATTTTTTTTTTGTTTTTTTTTAAAAAACACTAAATCGAGTATTATATATATTATGAAGATGATTCCTTAGAGACTTAGAATCTATTCTGCTCATTTCTGTGGTCATTGTTTTTGGTTTAAAAAATATTTCTTTGTTGGTGCTATGAGTAGTACTGTTAAAAATGAATATCTTACTACTCCTGAATCCGAAGTTTATGATTTTGAGCCTACTCTTAGTATTATAAAATTTTCTAAGACCTCATGAAATATTAACCTGCTTTTATTTTTTACTCCTCAAAGAAATAAAAAGATTAAATATTTTTAAACTATTCACTTTTAAACTGAGTCCATTTTTGGTAATAAAAAGGAGTATTCCGACCCATAGGTATACAAAGAAGTTCACCCTGACATTATCTTTTGCTTCATATATAAAATATTTGCTACTATATTTTACTATTGAGTTGAGTTAAAGGTATTGGTAATAGGAGAAAATTATAACTTCTAAGACCATTGAGTTATAATGATGTGCTATTAATGTGATTATTTTTAAACCATTCTATTTGTTTAAATATAGTACAAATATAATTCTATTTGTTAGCTTAGTACAAATATAATATCAAAAAAAAATTGAAATTATATAATTCTAAGTTTCTTCATATAAACTTTAAGACATGGGCAGACTTTAATATTATTTCAAATAATATCCCTGATTAGTTATAACACATCTTCCCTCTGAATAAGGCCATTTCTAGGCTAACATATATAATTGGAATTACAAGATTATTTTTAGCAATTGTTGTTAATACTGGAAACCTTTTTTCATAAATTTTTCTTCAATCTAGTGGATTTGCTACTTTAGAAAGTGATTTCAGCAATATATGTATTTATTTCTAATTTATTATGACTTTTTGTTTGGACATGTTATATTTTAAAAAAATTGTTTTTTTTGGATTGATTTGAAAGTTGTACTACTTTATCAATGTGGTTATGTGTTTTTATTAGTGCTGTAAAGTAACGTTGCGATATTTTTTTTTGAAGAAAAGAAACGCTTTTTGTTACCTTCTTCTAGAGGTAACTGTAGCTGTAACGCGTTTCCTTTTTTGAGTAACATTTTTCTTAAAAAATATGAAAAAAACATATTTTATTGAAATAAATTAATTTTATTTATTTTTTAAATTTTATAAAAAATTTAAGCATGGTTAAATTCGCACCCACCAAATTCCTTCATTTTTATTTTAAATTTTCGTTGTTAAATTTTCAGTCAAGATTATTAACCTAATTAATATTGAATCAATCAATATATGTAGATAAATACTCTTATTAATGTTATAATTTATTTTATTAAGAATATTCTGTCAATTTTGCATTTTCTTCAGATGAAGATAAATAAAGCCTGTCTTGGGTCCAATATGAAACATTTTTTACCCCGATAAATAAAACTAGGTACAAAGTTTACGCTTTGTAGGCGTAATTTGTGTCCCAACTCAACTATTTTAACTTCAATTATGGAACAAACATGGGCACCCTTCAAACTGTACAACCATTTTTAAAGAAAAAATGGGATATCAGATTAAACTGGTTATAATAATGGACCTCTTTCTATAACTCCGTTAAATTAATTTAGTCTTATTAAAGAGAATGGTCACAAATTTGATGAATCTTGAGCTATATCCAATGCAGAGATTTTCAGATAATAACAAGTCGTTTATGGATAAATTTAACATGTGGTTAAAATTCATTTTACAATAATAATAATTGTCTTTTTAATTAATTCACCCATAAATATATATCCCAACATTCTTAATTTTATGTTACCTCAGTACCCATTAACCAACATTTGGATATCCAAATTTCAACCTCAAATTATTCCTTTTAATGTTAACTAAGTAACAATTAAAAAATATCTTCCATTTTTCTTTTTCGAATTGTGTTAAAATTCATTCAAACATAATTTCCTTTTAATGTTTACTATGTAACAATATATTTAATTTTCAACAACAAATATTACAATCCATATATATATCTTTTATACCATATATATATATCTTTTATACATTTTTTATACCATTAATTGACCCAAGTCAAATTAATTATATCAATATTACAGTGGCTTAATCCCAATCACTAGGGAAGTCCGACTTTTCATATATCTATATTTGAAAATTTTAATTTTGAAAAATCCAGTCTTAAATTATTTACAAAATATTAATAATTCCTATAAAAATTATTCTACAAAATCCTTATTCTCAAATCCTATTTAATGAACAAAAATCCTGGCCTATCATGATTTTTCAACATCAAAAACATTGCTATTTTTATTTAATTTTTAATTAAAAATAAGTATATATAAAATATGGTTTATTTGCCTGTTTATTTAGGTAAATTCCGCCAACCTAGGACCCTCTATCCTAGTAACAACATTGTAAACAAATACACAATCTTGTTTCTCAAATGAATATTCGTTTTATTTTTCAATCCATAAAAAACAAATAATAAATTATATAAAAAAAATACACCAACAAATAATATCTCAATTTATTGACATTCTTATAATATATTATTTTATTTTATTTATATTATTTAATTTCCATTTTCATCAACTGTAACATTATATATGTTAATTGTACACTTTTAAGATATAATCCCGTTACAACATAAAAATATGTTCCATTCCAATAGGCCGTGACCAGGATCGAGGGAATTCACTCTAAATAAACAGGTAAATAAACCATATTTTTATATATATTAATTTTTAATTATCATTTTCTACCAGCTTCTGGTCGGATTGGTTTATAGGACGCTGAAGTTATAACAATATATGATATATAAAAAAAACTTTCGTTCGTAAATGTAAATAAACTCACATTACATTATATATTATATTACATATTTCATTTATAGTACACATCTCATATAGGACCTGCTCGAAACTTGATATCTGTAAAGATAATGTTTATATATTATAAATTGGTATATCTATAATTTAAAAATTCGATAATTAGGTTTCCGATAGTTGGCGTTGAAATATAAATCAAATTAATAAAATATATTTAACATTTTTTTAAATTAGTTAAAATATATAGAATAAGATATAAATTTTCATACTAACTCATTTACACATCATCCTTAATCATCATTATTTGACTAATATTTTTTGACAACATATTTAAAAACAGATAATTATACATGTTTAGTATATTTATTTTCTATAAAAGAATATTTTCTACCCAGTCCTTCAAGCTAATTTGGCATCATCAACTTGCATACTATTTTATAACCACTAAGAACAAATAATTTAATTTGACATTTATATTAAATTCAATCGTATTTTATTAATTCTCAGGTTAACATAGGCTTTCGAAAGTTTTTATTAAGTTAAACTTTCACATTTTTGTATTCAGATTTTGGCCAAATTATAAGCGTTTTATTTATTTTAGCTTTCATGATATGTAAACATGGATAATTATTATATTATACTGGTTGTTATATAGCGCAAATTTTTATATGTCGCATTCATTTAATTAACACAATTTATATTAACTTCACTTAATAGTTACATTTATATTTTTTAATAGATTTTTTGTATATATAAAGAATAAATTTATTGTATATTTGGAGTTAAATATTTTTAAAATATATTTATTTAATAAAAGTTTTAAATCTTTGTTAAATCTTGTCTAACTCCCTGCCAACCTTAACATGGTGGCAGCGGAATTTATAATTTTAAAATCTTTTAAATTTATTTTTTTTTCTCTGCAAAATATAATTTTGATTATGACAAATCGTACCAAATGATGATCAAATGGATAAATCAACAATGGCAGGAGAATTGAATTGTTAAACTAGATATCAAACCAGACGAACTAACTAAAATTGGGCTATATGAATTACAAAATATTTCTAAATCCATAGACAATATGATTTTAGCTACTGAAACATAGACAACTAGATAAAAAAAAAGTTCTGGAATGTTATGTTCATTCTAAAAACACGTAAGTAATGATTAATTTG